TAAAATGCACAAGGAAACATTCTCTAAAAAAAGTGGTCCAACATCAAGGAGAGAAGAAAGTTGCAGGTGTCAGAAATTTACAGACCTTACCATTTTAAGGTCTCTCTGTAGCTTTTAATGCTTTCCACAACCTTCTTCAAATTCAAGGCCTGCCTGTAGAAAAAGACATGTTTTGCTGTAGCAGGGATACAGCAGTGTCAATTTGAAGCTTTCCTATTAAACCAGCTTTGAAGAGTAGACCATAATCTCCACCTAAGAGGCAGCAGCTGGAGATGCAGGAATTTCCTCTCTCTCTCAGTGGTGAGTTCAGGACCCTGCAGAAAAGCTATTTTAATATTAATGCTGAAGTCAGGTAAATTGTAAATTAATGGAGATATCCTATCTCCTAGAACTGGAAGGGACCTTGAAAGGTCATCAAGTCCAGTCCCCTACCTTCACTAACAGGACCAAGTACTGATTTTGCCCCAGATCCCTAAGTGGCCCCCTCAAGGATTGAACTCACAACCCGGGGTTTAACAAGCTAATGCTCAAACCACTGAGCTATCCCTCCCCCCAACAAGGTAGCTTGTTGTTTTTCTCTTTAAACAGGAGATGGAAGATAAGTGTAACATTAAGGTTATCAATGTAAATGTTTGGGAAAGTAGGTAATGGAAAAAGTGAAAGTACTCAAAGTGGACCTGTTCTAAAGCCCATTGAAGTCAGTGGAAAGACTCCCACTTCAAAAGACTTTGGCCAGGCCCTATATGTGGATTTTTTTTACAGGACTGGGCCCAGTAAGATTAAATTGCCCATATTCTCTTTACTATCTGTATTCAATAATTTAATGTAGCTAATCCTTATGATGGAACTATTCTTGTCCTTACAGTTATGTATATGATTATGTGCTGTTCTTCTGTATGACTGAACACTTATCTCTTTTCTTCCACCCCATTTATATTTCAGGGTCTTTTGCTTTCCATTGCTTTTAACACTGTAATTAATTGTCTGTGTGATTTTACTGATGGCGTTCCTAATACACAGAAATAACAGCCAAGTATTCTTGGTTACCTCAGAGGTGCTCTCTCTCTCTCTCTCACACACACACACACACACACACACACACACACACACACACACACACACACACACACACACACACACACACACACACACACAACTACTACTAACTAACTACTACT